ATAAATTTTCTTCTTCTTTCTTTTTGTATTTATTCAACTCAATTATATTTAAATAAATTTCATGGTATCACAAAGCGTCTTTGGCTCTGATTAATGTGCATCGATATCCTTAAAAGGAGTTCGCAGTTTATCAATGCGAATTGTTTCCCATTCTTCTTCTGATTCAGAGAAATCTCAAGTCACCTTTTGTTCGTGTCCTTTGTTACTTCTAAAGTCACTACAGCGACACGTTCTTTTCCGTCGATTTTTCTTTCTTTCGTCTTTCGTTTCCTTCTTTCTTTCGCTACATTGACAACAATTATTGCTTAACAAACCTGATTATGATGAGGCCAGAATTTCGCGTAAGAATATTTTGTTTTAGTTGTTTGTCCGTCTGCCTATTGTTCTTGCTCTGTGATCATTACTGCTGTTGCCGTTGTTGTTTTATAACTCCTTTACTTGAAGAAAAAGTTAACTAAAAATATATGTATATATATATATATATATATATATATATAAAAGAAAAAAAAAGAAATCTTACTATAAGCTACGATCATCGCCGTAACCATGTTAAACATGGATACTTGAATGTCGTTTGAGAAATAAAATGGAACAAAAAACGAAAACATTGAAAGAAAACTTTTTCACATTTTTAAATACGATTTGTCTGAAAGCAAAAATTAATTTTACATTACAATGGACACATAGATCAATGATGTAATATAACATTTCTTTTATTTACATATATTTAATATGCAATCTGTCTGATATTAAGTTAATGTTACAACAAGATAAGTAAAAAAAAGAAAGAAAAACAACTACACATACTTAGAAAATTCATTAGTGTTATATTAGTAATAATAATTCAATTCCTAAATGGAAGATCCAGTATCCTTTTCGTTCTTCCTATTTGATTCCGATCCATCCCGAAGAGACTTGCCACGGCATTAGCGTGATTTCTCATTCCGACAAAATGCTGTGAAGAAATCCGTTGTGTTAGATTTCCAGTGAATAGAAAATCCCGGCTATCATGAATAGTCTCGTTGTCATTATTGTAAGAGGGAATTATAAATTTTGTAAATGTAAATTTTGGGAGTATTTCAATATGTTAGAAGTAATGGCTGCACCACACAGTACCACTCGTAGGATCTTACACTGATATATTTGCGGTATTTCAATATTAGAGTTACTGGTTTAAAAATCTTAACTCTATGAAGATGGAATTACATGTGATTCTCAGAAAAGTCAGGGACCCCAGGAAGTATGCCCGTTGCTCACGTCATCATGAAGCGATATACTTATATCTGTCTTTTCGTCTATCCATTTGCCTTTCTGTTTCATGTTTGCACGATGCATGCTAGCTTTCTCAAAGTTTAACTATCGCCCAACTACGCATTACTGAAGGGGAAGTGGAAGAGATTTACACTTAAGCCAGCATGCATTAACGATCCATGGAAAAGTGCGTTTTCTTAATCGCTGCGGGACGATGAGATAATTTAGTCACGTTTGTCTGACTGTCCATCTATATTTCCGTCTGCTGATGGCAAAATGGTTTCGAACTCACTGAAAGTTTAGCTAGCGCGACGCGGATGGGAGTTTAAGAAAATTTATATTCCCATATGTAATACTTTTAAATATGCGTCAAATATGTATCATTTATGCGAACAAGATAGTGAAAGGGACTTGGGCTTCACGAAATACATCATCGATGTAAGGAAAAGTTCGCATTTTCATTTCGTTTTGTTCACGCCTTTGCTTCGGCTTACGCGTTTCCCGCTTTCATGTCACTGTGTCTGGTGACTACCGTTGATAACCCAGCAAGACTGAAGACAAAACCCCAAAAACCAAGCTTCAGGCGAAGTATGATGGGCCCATAATCACGACCACAGCAAGTAAAAGTCGATGGCTAATAGTATACACAAGTTATTAATAAATTTAAAGCTACGTGAAAATGCACATAAGAGTCTTCTTAGTCCATAGCAAACTAACCTCAAGTCAAGCATTGGTCAAGAACTTATTACAACTATTTACCAAAGTCAACTTAAAATCGAGTAATGGAATTATTATGATTTGGTCAACCGCTGTCAGCCTATCAACAAGCTCGCAACAACCACTTATCACTTGCAAATCACATATGGATCCAGAACTTTGTAGCAGAATTTCGCATAGATCTAGGCGGGCCCAAACAGTGAATATAAAAAATCGAGCTAAGCGGCCAATAGATATAGCGGTGATTCGTACATGGTTTATAATTCATCTTCTGCCTATTATTCGCAAGTGGAGGGTGTCAAAAATTTGCCTACGAGTTGAGTAAATTCTTTGACTTTTTTCAGTGTATTCTTCAAAACGAAAATCCTTCTGCCATTTAAAGTCAAACAAAGTTATGTCGAGATCTTGTTGTGTGGCTGTAAAGAAATAATGTTTACGAAGGTAGAGGACGAAAACTGTTGAATTGCGTTAGCAACGACGTCAGCAGCACAACCAATAACAATAGCAACAAAAATAGCAACAACAAAACTTAATCTTAGTGTAAAAAGAAACCGAAGTTGACAACCACAGCATGAGGCCTTTCGCTTTATTATTATTATTATTGTTGTCGTTGTTGTTGTTGTTGTTGGCTGTTGGTATGTACAAACAGCATTCCAGCGGTAAGTCAAGAAGAGTAAAACACTTTTCTTACTAAGGATTCACACAGCAACCACAATCCATGGCATGGTAACTAACGTTACCTTCGCTGCTTCATCATCTTCAACTGTTTCGTTTTCTTCGCTTGCGTTGTTAGTTAGCATTTAATGATGCCAAACAATTGATAAAACGATTTAACAAAAATTTTATTGGAATTTATCCGAACAGTTGATGTTGTTGTGTGTGTGCGATGGTTGGTTCCACCAAACGAGAAATCGTAGAGATGATGACCATTTTTCGCACAACGAAACGTATGTTACTCGTGTTGTTTAAGCAATTTTGGAAGAAAATGTTTCTTGTTAAGTAAAGTGAAAAAAAACAAAAAAAAACCAAAACCAAAACAGAAAAAGGAACATTTAGAGGCCACAGAAAATCGTGCTAATTTGTTGTAGTTTTTTTTTCTTTTTTGCTTTTAAATAAAACAGAATAAAAATGCTTAAAAAGAAAAAAAAAATAAAAACTCTGCAAAAATTAATGAGGAAGATGATCAATGAGCCGCTCGAGAACTCAGGAAAAAGGTTTCAAAAATTTATCAACATTTTGAGAGCAACAACAAATAATATGGCAAAGTACAATAAAAACACAGGGGGGGTATGAAGAGATATAGAAAAGGAGGTGGAGAACTTTTAGCATAAAGCACCGGTTATAAGTGTAGAAAAACCTTGACAGCGGAGCCATAAGAAAAATCATTTTCTGCTTATGTAAAAAAAAAAAACGAACACAGCCGTAAATAGTTTTCGTTGAACGTACATATGTATACAAACGAAACTTTAAACGACCTTAAGCGGCAGCAACATAGACTCAGCTTTTTTTCTTTTCTTTTTCTTTTTGCTTTTAATCGGCTTTAATGTTCGTACAGAGATTAATATTGAAGTACAACCCATTGCTTCGACCAACATTCAAATGCAATCAGTTAGTCGTTGTTGTATTATAGCGGTGGCATCCGTGCAACAATAATCTAACCAAAGCTAAAACGTGTACTTAAGTGTGTGCTTTACATGTCCATGAGGCCAACTCAGCATAATCTGAGTTGCCATCATCGAAATGCATGTAAAACTAAGAAAACAAAAGACTTTAAACAACAAAAGGAAAAACAAGAAGAAACCAAAAAGCAGAAAACGAAAAAAAAAAAAAAATAAATAAATAAAGTTAAGCGAAAAGTTTTTATGCCACGAGCACTTAAAACAACAGAGTATAGACGACAATATGTACTTATGATCATTACGATAAACGTGCTTAACACATAATGATCATTAAAGTTTAAGCATATAGAGACAAGCAAATAAATAAACAAACGAACAAACACATGTAACGATCAATGTTTATTATATTGTTTAGACAACATGGTAATGCATTAATGACGAAACACTCTCTAAATGTGATTGTTGTTATTGTTACCATTACTGTTGTTGTTTTGTTTCGTTGAGCATACACAAACACAACCTATGGATGCCTTTCGCTGTAGACTTAGCCTGATAGCGGAGTATGCGCATTTATTTAAAGCCAACAATAATGATGATGATGATGATGATGTTGACGATGATCTTCGTTACCATCGTACTAATAATGACCCTTCCTGTTATACTCAATAAGAGTGAGGAGTTTTTTTTTTTTTTTGTTTTTGTAAAGATTTTTGAAGAAAAACATCGCATCAACAACAATCGCACTCTTTACCAGTGTTTTGTTTCGCGTTTATGAAATGAAAAAAATGCGTATAACCGCCGCCGCCAATATTGCGAAGAAAAGTCGCTAAGCTAAGTTTTATAAGCAACTTCAATAATATGGTTTTGCTTTGTATACAAGTTTTTACACACCATCCAGCACAACTTAATCTTTTCATATAAATCAACGTAATGATGATTATTTGCATTTGTAGAGAAAATTGCAATAAAAGAAAAAATCCCATAAAAACGTTCAGAATATTTATATTTATAATCAGTCTGAAGGCGATCCTGCGCAATCTATAAGAACGATAGGTTTATGAGTATTCAAGAATGTATATGTGAATAATTTTCCCTTCTTGAGACCAACTGGTATTTATTTACAGGTAGTGTGGCTATAGTCCTGTTTAAAAATAAAATAAAAAATTCAATTCCCATTATCCTTGATTATAATCGCCGCCCGGTTACATAGATTAGCAAAGACTGATGCGTTCGAAAGTCGATCAAAGGTGGGTCCGCACTTAAAAAAAAAATCAATGCTTAATAAATTTATAGTAATACCCTTAAGTTTGTGTGGATGCATGCAACACCCAGAAGGAGTTGAGATAAACCCTTTTATTATGCCGATATTTGCCGAATCTGAATTCGTCCAAACTCGTCTGTCCGTCTGTCCGACTGTCCGCTTTATTTTCTTAAGTTCAACCTATAGATAGCGATTTATGAGATATTTTCATGGAATTTGGTATGGAGTCAGAAAAAAATGAGGAAAGAAAAAGAGAGACCGCCTACTGCGTACAGCTACGATCACAGTGCAACTTTAACGCATACAAGATTTGAAGCCGCGAACATTGACTTGATGATCACGATTCTTACTTACTAGACTATTCATGCGGATATATAGTAGTGATCAGTTAGGCTTAGTGGTTGTTGTGGTTTCTAGCACTAAATCAATAATTCAATTTCATCCTAGAGAAAAATGATTGATGGGAAAGCATTGCATCAATTTTGTGGTCAGTAAATTGATAGTGGCACGAGACGTACTGCGTCTTGCCAATATCTTCCCGAAACGGCACTTTACCCGAACAAAGAAGGCGAGCGAGAGAGAGAGAGAGAGAGAGAGAAAGAGAGAGAGAGAGAGAGAGAGAGAGAGAGAAAATTTATTTAATTTCTAACTCAATCATGCTTCTATAGCGATCTCCTACAACACCTACAAATCATAAATCATATTAAACTCTTCATCTTGTTGAATGTAGGCGTGTTTCACGAAACGGGAGTAGTGTGTGCTTCTCGATATCAAGAAAACTCGATTGTAATTGAAATATGTTACTCGATAGGAATTTTAGCATTGCAAGGCTTTTCTTTCGATAGCAATGAAAGTACATACGTTAACGGTCGCTTTAAACTCCCTAGTCGTTACATCGACACAATAACCCATAGCTAAGGTGTCGAGAGCGCCATAAACCAGCTCCCATGCCTCTACTGTAGATGCGACAACTTTATTTATCTATGAAGCCATTTATTCAAGGTAACTTTCATCTCGCATGCGCGGAACGTGAAAACTTTATTAACTTCCATATGCTACATAACTGCAAAATTTTCCAACGATGATTTGCCAAATAGTACTGAACGTAAATGTGAATTTTGATGGGAATAAAAAAAAAAAAAAAACCACTATGACGTTTAAAAAATTAATTACATTATCTGATAGTCATATGTTAATGATAACTGCACTAATAATTAGCATAACCTTATTACGTAATCTTAACAGGTTTTAGCATAAGTGTTATTAACATATGGAAGTTTTGAGCCACCTCAATGCATAGATGCCAGTATCTTGGCACCCCGCACCAGTTATGGTGCAAGGTGTGGATAAGCTATGTTGTTTCCACTTTGTAAGAATCGATTTCCAAAATAACATAGTATACTTGGCGGTTTACTTTTTCGTTTGTTGTAATTTACTAAAAGAATAATTAATTGATTTTTGTTGTTTCAATTAAATAGTTGGAATTTTCCTTATAAAAGAAAAATAATTCATTTTATTCTGCTACTGCAAAGGGGCATATTAACTTGTGGGGGTGTATGAAACATCCAGAAGGACTTAAGATAGAGCCACATTTTATTATTATACTTATATTATATTATTTAAGCCAGTCTCTCTCTCCGTGTTTTGGCCAAAAAACCCACACCATAGAGAATTGTTTGAATAGAAGCTTTTCTGACCACTTTTAATAAGGGGTTTGGTTTTGAAAAATCGTCATATGATCGACAATCGTATTAAGCGAAGTGGTTTAGGGTCCTGTTTTTGCCTGTCGTGTATTTCAAGAGTTTTCCCAACTCAAGAGCGCAGTTCAAGCTAGTTATCGTTTGCGTTTTTCTTAATTTAAAAAATGAGAAAATTATGAAAATTATTTATAAAAGTTTTTTTACCTCTTAACAAGCAGCAACGACAATAGCCGCAATGGAAAAACAGCATCACATGTTGCAAAGTCATTTATTGAATTTTCCTTAGTATAGCGAACACCACTATTGCCACCTCCTCCGCCGTTTCAGTTGATTTTTCCTTGTTTCACTGGATGCAGCTCATTCTTCATAAATTTTTTAATAATTTCAAATAGTTTTCCTTCCTTTTTTTCTTCACATTTTTCTTCTTCTTTTTTTTGCTTTTTTTTGTGGAAAGGCGTTACAATAGCTTAAAGGCTCTTTTGTGCAGTTCAAGTGGTTGCTTTTCTTTTCTTCTTTTTACTAAGCGAGCTTGGTAGCAATGTGTGTGAATTTTCTGTTAAAAACATCGCCACAAGTGGAAAACGAATTATAAGATCATATTGGAAACCTCTTGAATTTCACGCCATACACAGCGGGATGTTTTTGAGAAATTCTATAGAAAAAAAAAAAAAAAAAACACAAAAACAATAATTTCTTTACTTTGACTTTTGTCCTACACAACGAATAACGAATGCTAACAACAATTTACAAACGATAACTTACGGGCTCACTGCGATCTCTGTCGTACACTTTAGTTAGTTACGCTGCTCAACTGGCTGGCAGAATTTTCAAAGGATTTCTTCTTTTCTTTTTCAAAATTTTCATCTATCATCAAAAAAAAAAGAAAAAACAAAAAATCATGTTTCTTAAGAAATCTTCTCTTTCCCTTGCAGCTTATCAGAGCGAAATGTTTTATGGCATCATCATATTATTTTCTTAGCGTTACCTGCTGTTTGCTTATGCTTGCGACAAAATCTTATATGTTTCTTCGTCTCTCCATCGCAAAACATATATAAGCAAACGGGTAGAAAACCTTGTTAACCTAACCTGTGGACAGGTGAAGCAACAGCCTCATTATTAGTTTTATTTGTTTTTATTGCTATTGTAGTCGTTGTTGTCTTAAGACAAGAAGAAATTTGAGATTTTCCAAAAAAAAAGCCAAAAGAAAAACATTCGTCTTTTTCCCATTTTTTACACCCGTCAACGAAGAATGAAGGGTATATTCATTTCTTCGAAACGTTTGCAACGCCCAGAAGCAAATTTCAGAGACTTCAAAAATCTTGGTCGATTTAAATCGCATGTGCGTCTGTCTGCCTGTGCATATCAATGCACTGTGCATATCTGTGCACATTCTCCCGTCCACAAAAACGAATGTATTGGCTACAAATTAGCAAAAGGGTTCGTAAATGACGCAAAGAGCTCAAAGAGTACGCCTTTAATGCCCATAGTTTTGTACAACGTAAACTTAGAACAACTTTGCTTCCATTCTACACGAATAATAAAAATCAGCCACGCCCACCCAATATAATGAAATGTGCAAATTTATGTTCTTCGTATCCAATCCTTCAATCGTTTTTAGGATGACGGTGTTGAGTGTGAATGATTCGGTCGCAGCCGAATGTAATTTGCTTACTCGTTTTACTTCAACTAAGCATTTTCTTAAAATTTGATCTCTTTTATGAGATAATTTAATATTAATGGAGATAATTTTATCTCTTTTTTCTTTCTTTTTTTTTTTAACCAAAAGAACATTCGATATTATATTAATTTTATTTTGCTTTGTTTTTTTTTACCTTTTCTTTCTATTGAGCAATTAATTTACTCGCTTTCGCTTCAGCTTGCTTTGATTTTTTTTATATCATTTTTTTTTTCCATATTTCTCTTTATTCAGGTTAATTTATTAGCACACTGTGGCGAAGCTTTCAAGGCTATTGAGAAATTTCACACTTTAGTTATTACGCATAAAACTAAACATTGGCTAATAATTAGCAAATGGTCAGAGTGAACGCTAAAAAGTATTTTCAAATTGCAAACCCCTCCTTCCTCTGTAGGTCCGCATTGTTTGCTGAAACAACATTTAATTGAAAATATTAATAAGGTTTAAAAGTGGTTTCAAAATGAAAGATAGAAGAAAGAGATCGTGTAAAAAAATATTCTTAAACTTTTGGTATCATTGCAGCCTTTGGTGGCCATAGCGAGTATTAGTTAGTTCGTTCCATTGATTGCGCTCAGAAGTGCGGATCGACAAGACGTAAAAGTATAGTTAAGCCTGGTCACTAGACAATTGAGCAATGGCTTGTTAATGGCTTGTGTGTCTTTATCCTTTTGTCGATTACTTAGCTTAACACTCAAGTATACGCACCGCTCAAAGGGATGTTAGCCTGCATGGTAATTAATGCTCTTGATATAGAAAAAAAAAACTTAATTAGCTCCCAAAACGTCCAAACCTTATCAAGCATCTTCACTTATAAGCAAAAAATTATGATAGATTTTATTCTGAAATACACTGGAAACGCTATTCTCCATAACTACATATATATATGTTTATATTTTGTTTTTTCCTCCATCATTCTGTCTCGGTTAAGTAAGATGAGATGAACTAGACCATGTCCAGAGTCTTATAATTTAGTTAAATCATTTGTGTTTCAGATTTTTGCTCTGCTAACCTTTGCGATTAATGTACAAAGTTTGCCAAGTGCCTAGGCAGAAACTTGTGCGACTTTACTAGACCTGACTCTCCTTGGTATACCCATTCTCGCTTTTTTTATACTAAAGAGTAATGAAATTCAAATGTTATTCTCCTTGGCTTACCTCCAAGACTAATAATGTTGAAGATTGTTAAAGACTTGGTTTCGACTTGGCTTCGCTGATCTATCTCATAGTATTTGTGCAGATTTTCGTTACGCTACTTTGTCCATCGGCGTAGCTAACGTTCAAAATCTTCTCATGTCAAATGCATTTTTGGAATCTGTTACGCTGAGTACCTTAATGCATGCTACACTTTCAGTATTTGAGATTGCAGCTGTAGCTTACTTAGGAAGTCACATTTGCATACGATTAGAGTTACATATACATATATACATATTTTACACACGGATAGAACTTAAATTGCTTAGGGTGGTCGCGACGTCGTACAACTTTGGGCAGATTGGTACAATTCGATAATAAAAGCAAAATAAGCCCGCGCTGTCATATGTGTAAATGATTTTGAGTGACGTTGCACGATGAAACTTTTCCTGTACCGTTAGCGTATAAGAGATAACAGAACTACTTACCAGCCTATGTAGTTTCTTGATGTATATGGGCATGTCAGCGAATCTATTGCGACACGACTTTCAATGTGGAAATCAGAGGAGGCTTACTGAAAATGCAGCCAAATTGCGGATTCATCTCTGCTGTCGTTTGTACGCTAACCATTAAAGTATATCCTCGCAAAAAGTTTACTGACTACAATCAGTTGAAGAATTCTAAACGACGTTGGCAAAGACGTACTGGTTGTGAGTTGGTAGAATCAGCTGTAGGATGGTGGCAATTGGTGGTGATGTCTGTCGATTAGTTATCTTACAGTGCCGTTTTATAGATGCGTTCTTCGGTTCGATTTTGACAGTGAATAAAACTATCAGACGATGTGCGCTTTTAACAAAAGTTTTTTTGCGAAATCACTAGAGACAACATACTTCTATTACGACAATAATATTTCATTAACAAAGACATGGCCATATGGGCGATGTAGATCATCCGGCAAAGGCCCCCAAAAATTTTCACAAACCTCCGTCTAATAACCAGGACTCTAACGAATGTTGGAAAATGCTTAGTTCACCGCAAGCGAAACACCTTAAGATATTGATATGCTTGATGAATGTATCTATGACATGTGATTTCGTTATAAGTAGAGACATGCAAGGACAGTTCCGCGGCTTGTTTGATAGCGAAGGAAATCGGAATTTCCGTTCTTTGCAAAGAAGAATCAGCGAACGGTATCGATCAAGCACTTTATTCATTAAATGTCGCTCTGTATGTCTATTGGCTTTTACCTAAACCTTAGATTAGATAGCAATGAATTACTCAAAACTCCCCGTTATGGAAAAATTATTTTTAAGCTTCAACATGTTTTTCATATAAAAGACAATTACCGTCTGTTCTCAAGTTTGTTGGAAAAATTTCTGTAACTTTTATTCAAGAAGATGTTTCAAAGAAGGGCAAAATACTTCTCCAGACCTCCCCTAGCGTGGTTCACATTTAATGATTTCGGTAAATAAATAGTAAAAGTCATACAAAATTTGAACTATATATGACACAAGTCACAAATTTTTTTTTCTTGTTATGTTTTATTTATTTGTTTATTTTGCTTTATTTTTGTTTTTTTTTTTTTTTTTTTTTGTTTTATTGTTGATTTTAAACACGAGATTAACAACGCACAAGAAAAGCAAACATTTATATGAACGCAAAGTAGTTGAAACAGAACAGAAGAGAAGATAAAATGGAAAAAAAAAAAATAAATAAATAAATAAACGATGATAATATAAAAACAAAACCCACGTACGAGAAGAAATAAGAAGAACAAGACGAAGAATAAGAAACATAAAAAAGACTATAACAACATACAAACAACAACAATCGCTTACAAAAGATACACACAGGTGAGAGCTCGCGTACGCAAACAAGCGAAGAAATATGAACATAAGTTGCTCAACAGATAAACGCACACACAACACACAACACACAATACACAACACACACATATACAGCATACACACTGTATGTAGATAGACCATAAGCAAGTAAGTAAGTAAGTGAATAAATAAGACTTAGACCTGTTTTAAGGCGAATTTACGAGTATATGGTGTGTGTGTGTGTGTGTGTGTGTGCCTGCTTGCATATGCGCATGTATAGGTTACGAATGTTTTGGTAACGACTTTTTAAAGGCTGGAAGACCAGAATTACCTGAGAACAGAAAATGATGAAAAGCAAAAAAAAAAAAAAACAAAAAAACAAAACTGGGCGCAAACTCAGCTCATGTCTCATGTTGTGATTTGTTTGATCATTATTGAAAATGTGTTTAAGGCGAAATCACAAACACACACACACAGACACACACACATACATATACACATATACGCGCTCACTCGTGAGCATTCATTTAACAGCATGCCATGCCTAACCGCTATAGAAGGTTTTCAGTCTTCAAGTAATTGTTGTTATAAGTGCATAGGTAGTAGTAGTGGTAGCGACTCAATCGCTAAAAAAGAAAACTATTTGTGTGCGTATATGTGCATGTGTTTGTGTAAAATGAGAGTAAGTTGTGCTTAGCATTTAGCGTTGGCTGGCTGTTACAATACTTTGTATAGATGGCGATGATGATGACAATTTTTTAACTCAGTTTCGAACTCAACGTTTTAAAGCGCACATCGTTTAATCGAAACACTTCACTACAACGGTTCATTTATATGTTGAGAAGTTTTTTTTGTTTTTTTTTTTTCATTTTTGTTTTTATTGAATATTTTGAATTTTCTTTATATTTATTGCTGTTTTAACTTACTTACGTGTACGTACGCACGCCTTGACTTTCCTCAGCATTAATTTTTTTCGAGAATTTTTCATTTTTTTTTTTTCACGAGAACGAAAAAAATAATAAAAAGTGGTTTTGTTTAAATTAAAATAAAATCAAGAAAATTCATGAGTTTATCGAGTACCGGGATTAACGTGGAAAGGAAAAACAAGCGCAACAACCACTGTTTTTTGTTTGTTTTTGAATGTAAGCGAAACTAGTTTGGCCTTTAAAATGTAAAAGCGAAAAAAAGAAAGAAATTTTTACTCAAAAGAATAAAAAATTTCAAAAAAAAAAAAGAAATAAATAAAAATATATATTAAAAAATTTAACAAAATTCGACTAAAAATAAATCTTGCTTTGGACGGCAAACCAAAAAAAAAAAAGAAAAAAAAAAGAAAAGAAACAACAAAACTCTTAATAACTAGTTCAGTATTAACTATGAAAAAACAAGCTCCTTGCTTGTGTATGCGCGTAAGTGTGCGTGTGTCTATTTGCGTATGAATGTTTGCGTAAGAAGCCCACTTTTGTTTTTTTCACTGCAATAATATTTATAATGACGTTGGCGTTATTGCCTTAGCGCGCCTTAGCCCTTTTATCGATTGTGTACCGGTGTCAATGACAATGAAAGGATTGCAGACATTGTGGGGTTTAAGAAGTTTCATAATTGTCTTGGTGCTACTCACGCATACCCCAACCTTTTACGGAGCGGAACGTATACGCAATGGCCGCAATAGCAGCAACGGTCAAGATGAACGTTCATTGCAACGTAAACGCAACAATAATCGTACGCCATCACCGCATCGTCAACGTACCTCAAGTCAACATTTAATAAACTCTTTAACTGTGGCGCAACAGCCAACCAATCACCATCATCATCACATAGAGGACCAGCATACGGAATTTGTCAAAGGAAAGAGTAAGTCATTCTTACGGCTTTTCTTACTTTCTTTGTTTCTTTTTGTTTTTCTTTTTTTCAATAATCTCTTCTCAAAATCCTAATAGATTTACAACGAGAACGCTTGGTAAACAATGGTAAAGCTTCTCGTAAAAATAGTTGTCGCTTAGACAAGGCGTATTATATGCGCGTTTGCCCCTTTATAGTAATACGAACTTATTTGGTATGCGCCATAACACGTCCACATAGTTCACTCTTGTTCG